ATTATTAATACAAGAACAAACAATTACCTATACAAAGTTTTATTTTAGATTGTATAGATATGCCGTGCTATAAGCGAAAGTGTTTTAACACAAAATTTCATATGTGGCCCTTATTACACCGCGATCTTTGATTACAGCAGCTACCTTATTGCTTTTATGTTTGTTTGTATATAGCCCTTATGAATTTGGTGGGCATTAAATTAAACTTGGCCATAATGTAGATATTGCTTTAAATCATCAGTATGTACGTTGAGTGCCGGTGATTCCCCGTGAATATTGACTGTAGACATGAAGAATATTAAAGACAGTATTTGTTTTTGAATATTTTTAAATATACTTATTAATTTCTTTATTAAGTTCTTAATAGACGACCTTCGTTGCCGAGTGGTTGGCACGCAGGTTTCAAGGTGTCACCTTTAAGGTCCCTGGTTCGATTCCCGGTCGGGTCAATGTTGAAAATTGTATTTTCTGTATTGTCTCGGGTCTGGGTGCTGTGGTATCTTCATCAATTTAAAGTTATATCATAAAAAGCAACTTATTTATCTAAATCTTTATTCTTCCTTATCTCCGGTGTCAGATGGTTTAAAAATTATTTAAAGAAATCGTAAATATAATTTAAATTAAGTAATACAACTTGTTAATTTATGCAGTATTGGCAAATATTCCTTGTATTTGTTTAATTCAATATTTAGACTAAATATGTATATATTTGAATACAAAACTCACCATTATCTACGTAATGAAAGACATCCAAATAAAAAAACAAATATATTTGATTTCTTATATGTATATATTGATTTCTATAATGGTTTCTTATATTTTCACGTATCACGTACATATTCATAAACATGAAACAACTTTTAAACGGTTTCATCGTGTACGTTCCAGACCTTTTACAGGTTCCGTGTTCACATGAGATTAAGTTGTTGATTGTCTTTCACATAAGACTAAAGCGTTGAAAAAAAAAGACAAACATAACCTTAATCTTATGTAAACACGGAAGCTGTAAAGGGTCCGATACGTCAATATAACTAAATACAAACGCGGTGAAACTGTTTTAAAATTGTTTCATTTAAAAATAAATTTAATGAGTATTTTATTTTTAATAATAATAATAATAATAATAACACTTTATTGTCACACCATTTTACAGTAAAAGTTTTGAACATGAATTTTGCAAATTAAATTCAACACAATAGTGGAACAATTGGCGGTCTTATCGCTAACAGCGATTTCTACCAGACAACCTTTGGATGGAGAAGAATGGATAGCAGTTATGAAAAACGGAGGTGTAGAGTAAGAGTACATACATTCAAGATAAATAAGTAACATTTCCTAAAGATACATTAATACTAGTAAGATACATAAATATATATAATATATACATAAATATAAATAATATATACATAAATATAAACAATATATACATACATAAGATATATACTAATAATATACTTTAGTGAAACGAGGAAGAGTTTTAGCAACTTAGAATTACAAAGACAAATAATGTTTTTTTACCAGTTCTTTGAAGATGGTGATCGATTGCGCCCGTCTTATGGAAGCCGGAAGAGCATTCCAAAGGCGCACAGCTTGGACGGTAAAGGATCCATCATAAAAGGTAGTGTTATGGAGAGGAGTTTCAAGTTTCAGATTTTCCGATGATCTCAAAGAATGTGTAGTGGAAAAGTATAGAGGATTAAATCGTTCTTTCAAATAGCGCGGGTAACAGGGATTAAACAGAATATTATAGAGAAGAGATAACATGTGAGCATTCCGGCGAAGACGAATAGGAAGCCACTTGAGCTGAGTGCGAAATTGAGATATATGATCATATTTACGTAATCCAAATATAAATCTAATACAGAAGTTTTGAAGTCGCTCAAGTTTATTAAGTTGGTCTTCCGTAAGATCAAGATAACAGGTGTCAGCGTAGTCAAGTAAAGGAAGCAACAGAGATTGTGCTAGAGCAATTTTAGTGGTAGTCGGCAAAAAATTACGTAACCTCCTTAATGATGCAGCAGAAGCATATAGCTTGCGACTAACAGCTTGCAATTGTGGTCCCCAGCTCAGACTCCGATCTATGATTATACCCAAGTTTTTAACAGTGTCGCTGAAAGGTATGTCAGTACCGTCGAAAGTAATTTTTGGTAGGAGATGCCAGTCAAGTTTAGCGATCAGCCTAGAACTACCCACTATGATAGTGTTCGTCTTTGTTGGATTTACTTTAAGACCAAATGATTTACCCCATGCCACTATACGATCTAAATCAATATTAGTGGCATGCACTGCCTCACTTAGCCGTGAAGGGGGGGCTTGACTGTAGATTTGTAGGTCGTCTGCATAAAGGTGGTAGGAAGAAGACAAGTTCTTAGAAATGTTGTTAATAAAAATTGCGAAAAGAAGAGGAGATAGAACGCCGCCTTGTGGGACCCCGGCAGTCGTGTCGCACCAGGAGGAAAACTTCTCGTCAATACGTACTCGTTGCCGGCGTCCATACAGATAACTGTGAAACCACTCAATTACGGATGGAGATATGTTAATAGAGCGCAGAAGAGAGAGTAGGATGTCAAAATTTACAGTGTCAAATGCACAACTGAAGTCTAACAAAGTAAGTACGGTTAAAAGACCGTTTTCCATCCCAAATCGGATATCATCGGTGATTTTAATCAATGCAGTTGTGGTACTGTGGCCCACACGAAATCCAGATTGAAAAGGGTTTAAAAGTTCATGACGGGAAAGGAAACAATTTAATTGGTTATGGATAAGACGCTCAAGGACTTTGGATAGGAATGGGAGAATAGAGATAGGTCTAAAGTCAGAAAAGGATTTAGGATGAGATTTTTTAGGAAGAGGAATAATTTGAGCTTCTTTCCAAGCGGAAGGAAAAACTGATTTGAATACAGAGTTGTTGAAAATAGAGGAAAGGGCAGGAAGTATGACATCAAGTATAGGTATTAACATGTTGCGACTAATTCCGTCAGCACCAACTGCATTGGAACTGATAGATAAAATGCTCTTCTTAACATCACATTCCGTAAACTGAGTAAAAAGAAACGTAGAGTGCTCGGGATTTGGTAAAGTAGAAAGTTGTTGAATAGTTCGATTTTTATCCGAATCACTAAGCTCAGAAGAAGAAGAAAAATGAGAATTGAGAGAATCGATATTAATGTGATGAGGTAAGGAGTCTTGACGTGTTCTACCAATCCCAAGAGATCTGAGGAATCTCCAGACTTTAGCTGGATCATCCTCTTCGACTGAATTATGAATGTGGCGTCGTAAAGCATCCCTACACACCATATTGCAGTGGTTACGAACCTTGGTATATTTCTCTTTGTTGAGTTCACTCGGATTACGTTTAAATTTGCTTTTAGCAATGGCTTTTTTATGTATCAGCGCTTTAATTTCACTATTTAACCATGGTGCAGGAAGGTGCTTAAGTTTGATGACATGAAAAGGTGCATGGTTATCGTAAAGTTGCGTTACGAGGTTATTAAAAGTAGTTATTTGCTCGTCAACTGAGGAGGCGTTTATCACAGGTGACCAATCAATATTACGAGCATCTTTCATAAAAGAATCTTGATCTATACCACCAAAATTGCGCTGAAGGATGACTTTGGGCTTTAATTTAGGAGGCCTAATTTTATAGGAAAGAAATATTAAATCATGATATGAGAAAATATCGGCAGAACATTGGCCGTGTTTAGAGACATGCTGAGTTGAAGAAACCATTATCAAGTCAAGAAGTGACGGGGTCGAGTGAGGAAAACGATGGGTGACTCCAAGTGGAAGAATGTGCAGATTGCTAGACCTAATGAGAGATTGAAGGGAAGTGGCACGGAGATCATTTTTTTGAAGGCAAGTATTGAAGTCACCCATAATAATTGAATGGTCATATGACGGAATAATATCCTCCAGAAGCCTTTCAAAAGAGGAGAAGTAATTAACTCTAACTGAAGGGCTGTAATAGACACCGAGTAAGACTCTGCGATGAGAAAGCGTTACTTCAATAAAGAGGTGCTCACCGGCATTACTTGGTGGTGGTTGACTGGAGGCACTAACAATTTTGTATGGGATACTAGACCGTAGATAAATGGCAACTCCACCACCCCCATAGCCAGTACGATCGTTCCGTATAAGTTGAAAACCGGGCAGAGTATATGAAGCTGAAGGTAAGCAGGGCTTGAGCCATGACTCGGAGACTAATACAGCGTGAAGATTTTTATGATCAAACGCCGCCTGCATATCATAGTAATGGGCCGGAATACTTTGCGCATTGATGTGAACAACATTGAAGTTCTTTGGTACATCGGAAAACTGTGTGTCAAGTGATTCAGATAGTGAAGGAGGTATACTGGCAAAACTGTCGTTACTGCTGCTGACGCTGGATGACAGCGATAAAAAGGGGTCAATATCGCTCTGTGAATCAGAACTAGACATATTAATAAAATAAAAATAAATAAAAAATAGATACAATTAAATATAAAATATATAAATTGCAATAAATAAATAATTATTTAGATCTAAACTGCAATCTAATTCCACCTGCCGGTTGAGTGATATATGGAATTTACATTTAATATATACTATACATTAGAAAAAGACACAAAAATAGATCAACAAATAAATGTGGACCGACTTACACAATACACAGAGTAAAATAACAAAAATAAAACATATGGCTGTATGAACACAGATCCCTACGCTTGCAAACAGAGGAAATAGTGCCCAGTCAATCTGACAAAAGTCAAATGTCACAATAATGCTATATCCACAGATTTAAGTTTGACAACGATAATGTGAAATAATTATCAAAACACGATCACAATACAGGGTATCGTGGTAACACGAAACTTAAAGCACTATAATGTAATAAGTGGAGTGAAGGAACATGAAGACAGTCAAAGATATGATTAAAGTACTTCATCCATATGTGCCCACCGGTCCGCATTATCAGTAACCAATCAAAACCAAAACAAATGAAAAGTGATAAAAAACAAATATTACTTCTTACTGATGCCTGTTCGCTTGCTTCTAGTCGATGATGCAGTTTCCTTGCTCATACCCGGCTTAGGCACATCGTCAGACGAGATCTTGTTTAGGTCATAAAGTGAAGATATACGATGGCGCTTCCCATCGCCGGCGATTACAAAAACGAAACCTAATTTGGTGAAGCACTTGTTGACACCATATTTTTCACGTGCAGCCATAAAAGCATCGTGCCGAGACTTCGTAAGAAATTCGGAAATGGTTAAACCTGAACCTTTTAAAACAGTTTTAGAGAACCAAATTTTACTGCGCACCTCTTGATCTCGGAGTTTTAATAAAAGTGGTCGAGGACGGTTAGAAGTAGCGGTCTTGCGTCCCATACGATGGCAGCGGCTGATGTCATTTTTGGTGAACCCACTGATCTTCATACGATCTGTAACTGTTTTCACAAGAACAGCTACTGTGTCCTCATTAGACTCCTCCGGTAGACCATGCAAAAGCAACATCTTTCTTCTGCTGTGCATTTCCATGTTGTCAGTTTGCTGTGCCAGCAGATTGATCTGTTCCTGGAGACTTTGAAGCGCTGTCATAATATAGCTTCTAAATGTGGAGAATTCACTGTTGAGGTTAGAGATGGTGGTAGAAGGTGCTGAGGCTTGAAGGTCACTCTGATATCTATCCATTCTATCCGTGAATATCTTTTGAAGCTGGTTCATTGAATTTTGGATAGCGTCCATTTTGCAGCAAGTAAAGTATTGGGATGTACACGAAGAGTAATGTTAATATAATGTGGATTTAAGTAAGGATAACACTCGTCAGCAGGTAAGGTGAATAGTACTTTAGTATCTCATAAGAAATAAGCTTCTTAGTAGAGAGAATAAATATTAATTTAAATAATAAAACTGATAGATTTTTATGACGACTTTTTCTTTTACACCTACCCGCCGATATATATATCTATAATGAGAAAAAATATTTATAATGAGAAATTTCCGACAACAAACATTATCAAAGGTTTTCAACATAGCAAAAGTTGGTGTTATATCCACATTTCGATTAGTACACACGACTGCACGTCAGGTTACCACAATATGTAAGTAAGTATGAATTTTATCACATTTACACTAATTACAAAGCAGGAAGTGAAGTAATTTGACAGATTTGTAAAACGCGACTTGCTGTTTACTGTAAATTTGGCTGTATATAACGCAAACGTTACAAAATACAAAATCATATAATCAATGATCTACAACACAGCAGAGCTCGGATCTGCATCCAGAAAGTCGTACATCAATAATAGATCCTTTAGAACACTCCGATGGAGTCTGGATGCAGTACCCGCGACCACCGAGGCAACCTGTAAATAAAAAAATAACCGCTCATAACAGTTCTGAAATAACAATGCCAAAAACGTATACTATAAGAAAAAGCGCTTTTCGTCATGTATTCGTATATTTTTTGAGGCTATTTTATTTAATATCAGCTATACATATTAAAAAACAAAGTGACTTCACGCTGTTTGTACGCTGAGATCTTTTACACTACTAAGAGCCTTAAATAAAAATGCACAAATGGCGGACATAGCCAATTTAGTCATAGTGTACCATGTGTGTACATATGTGTACTGTAACGTATGTACAGTAACTTAGAAAATATATTTCGATATACCCACGAAATAATAACTTTTCTTTTACATTTTGATGATAAGGTTAGAGTGTTAGTGTATGATACAAAATATTACAAATATATACATGTGAAGAGTATAAAAAAAACTTATTTGGGTTACATTAGTAAGATTTATGGGGATCAAAATTAGGTGTACTCTATATGGTACAGTATCATATGTGAGCAAAATATCCGGTAATGGCAGTTCATTTTAATCATCTTATTTTGCGATTTAGTATTTGAAATCTTTCAAAATGTAACAACAATACTAGAAAGAATATGACAATACAACGAGTCAGCAACTTTGAAGCGCTATCTGAGACTAATAGTGATAGTAAACGTAGTGAATAAAGAAGATTCTTCCCAGAGCCAGGCGCAGAAAATGCTTGTTAGCTGGCATTAAGCACCAATAGAATTTGTATCTGCAAGGCATCAAGAAATTGAAGACCAGCCCAGTGTGACTCAAAAACTTCTCATAAAGCACCTACTTAGTACTGTAATGGTACGTACCACCGTTTATTTCGTCCTTGGTATCTATAAGATCCTAGGCATACAAACTTACTGTCTTGTTAATCTTAATAAAGTTAAATTACTCATCAAACTCAAAAAAAGGGGTAGACACCCCCTTTTTCATTTGCCTAAGCATCGAACCCGTCACAGTACTACTACTAGTTAGAGGAAAAGTAACTTGCATTGCACACCTACTACTTGACAATCGTTCCATGAGAAAACTACTGTAGAATAGTTTTATTTATTCTTTTCCGAAAAAGTATATGTGTATTTTACACTGAGGTCAAGATTGTGGATATAAAAATTATTGTCACTGGTGCTACTGTTAGGGAATCAAAGAAGAATGTGCTGGGAAAGAACTCCAAGAAAGAAAAAAAGGTTTTAGCCCTTCGGTGCGATTTGCGTAAGCATTTTTTAAGGAGACCAGTTCTCAACCACAGCGTTTTTCCGTATGTTCTTAAACATCGACATGATTTTATATCACTAGAGAAGAAACAGGTGTTAACTATATTACAAACAATTTTCTACTAAATGTGTCAACTATGAAATTATAGTCTGTGTTAAATATTTGTTTGTGTAAAAATATGTAAAAAAATATAACCTTTTATACAACAAAATGTGAATATTAAATTACAATTGGCTGAAGTCGTATTTGATGCATACATATAGCCCTACTCTACCCTATATAGTACGGCTCCCCATTACCCCCTTATTTAGCGATTAATTTATTAAATATTTTTTCTTTGATTTTTAAATCCCTTTCAATAAGTTTAATTCAAAATAACATAATTTCGACTCAAAAAAAGTTATCGGACTAAATAGGTTAGTGCCACTATATCACGCAGTCAAAGTCAAGCTAGTTCTTTTATAAAACAGCCTTCAACTTGTCGAGCATAGCATAGATATTCAATTAGTATAGATATCACTTCAACAATACTACTTGCATAGGTAATTAAGGTTTTATTTTACTGAGGAGCTGATTGGCCTGTCATAATATGGGTGAGTAAGTTTATAATTCGTTCTTTGTGTGCGACTATAAAATAAAGACTAGAGCAACATTTAAATCAGTAACGTCAGCCCAGCAGCGCCAGTCATTTATCACCGCAATGTCCTAGACTGATAAGTATAGGACTAAAATTAAACCTGTATTTTTTATTCGTTATAACTACAGAGATCTCGCTTTTGCACTGCCAGACTGGTGTAAGCCCAGCAGCGCTACAAAGACTAGTTTATCTCCGAAACTAGGTAACATGGCTTTTTGTCCCTATTTTGGAACGGACAGCCTAACACACACTGACAAAGAAATCTTTTATACGATTAGAAAATATAGTGTCATTTAAAGAAACAAGAAACTAACGTATCGGTAGTTTTTTGAGATCATATAGACGCATAAATAGGATATCAGTATCAATCATATTTACAGATTATAAAAAAACTTAAACTTTTTGATTATTTTGTTGTATATATAATAGGTCGTATGTAACCCAGGGAAATAAGAAGTCACATTTTGAATTTCAATAATTGTGTACAAACATTTTAATAATTAATATAGTAATTTTGGCTATCCAAAAATTTATAACATGATAAGAAATCCTTAAGGGAAATAAAAATTTATATTCAAAGATCTTGATAACAGCAGAGCTCCGATCCATAACACCCAGAATTCGGTTCATTCATGATAAATCCTTCAGTACATTCTGCTGAAGTTTTGACGCAGCGCCCGTGGCCACCAAGGCATCCTGTAAAAATAAGAGGAAACACACATTATACTCATCACAATCCTAAAATAACAGTACTATAGAAATCACGTAATAAAAAAAAGATACTGGTACGTATATGCTTGTAAATGCAGGCGGCAAAATCTTTAAAATTATTCTTAACATAATCTTCATAATATCATTTGACAAAATTAATATTTTTTTAATTGATGGCAAAACGCAAAGCTTGCTAGCTAAAATGCATTGATCAATAATTACTTACATAATTTGACAGAAGGCCAATGAACGAAACGACAAGGTTAGGTTAGGTTAGAACTCCGACGAAAACGCACGAGCCGAGCGAGCGGAGCAAGCGGGAAGTGACAGAACCGATTTCTTCTTTTTGTAGTCGGTGCGAGAAGCGTGTATTTTTTTATTGATTTCATACATTCATACAAGATAGATAGATAGATAGATAAATAGTTTATTCATACAACATACACAATGAAAATAATTGTGTTTTATATTGTTATCTTTTTTTAATGTCTGATGAATCTGTTGTTCATAATTGTATTGTTTAATACCGAGGTCAAACGTTGTACTGCTTTTGTAAAACATATAATCATCACAATCTAGCACAATTCATCGGTCCTATTTTGGCCATTTGAGACTAAGGCATTCTAGCTTATACTTCGGCAAATATAGTTAAGACAAAATTATATGGATGCCAATTGCGATATATTAAAGTTTAATTATTTCTAGCTTTAAGATTACCAAAATCGGCCTGTCTGCCATATTAAAAAATGTGTTTTTTTGTAATAAGAAAGAAGCAGTTTTCAAGTTATACCACAACTAACGTTGGTATCTCGACCATTTAATTTACTTGCATGCATGACCAATTTTATTATTTATTTAATCATCATCATCATCATCATCAGCCCTTTTACGTCCCCACTGCAGGGGCTCAGGCCTTCCTTATGGATGGTTAAGGAGGATGGCCCATGACCGTCCACGCTGGCCCAATGCGGATTGGAGGGTATTAACGACTGTAAATGCAGCTGGGACCAACAGCTTAACGTGCCTTCCGAAGCACGGAGTAGCTCGAGACAATTTTTTTTTGTCACCCATCCCGTGACCAATCCTTGCGAAAGTTGCTTAACGACAACGATCGCGGGCCGCGGCGCTTATCCACTACGCCACCAAGCTACTCTAATAAATAAATAAAAAAATAATAATAATTTTATTATTTATTTATTAATAACAAATAATTTCCAAGATTTAAAGTGAAGATTATTACTAACTATAACAAAAAACGATTAGAAAAATTTCCAAACTCACCGTAAACTGAGACGAAATAAAGAAACAACACAAGAACAAAATACATGTACTTTGCATACATTTTGTTATAAATGTTTTAAGGAAACGATTAATATAAAGTATCGCATGAAACACTAACAAGAAAATAAATACCACACAATGCTTTTATAGGTGTCACTTTATCAACATAGTTATAAAGCCAGTTGCACATATAAATAATAATTTTATTTAAAGAATTTATATACTACTTTTCCGCATGTATTTATCCGTTATTTAAATAATAAGATCGTATTATTTTATTCACAACAACAATTTTATATCACAAAGCTTTTAAAAAATATATTTGAGCTGTTAATACATAATTTACAAGAAATCACAGACTTACTTAATACATACTTACACAGTTTGGCACACGTATTTATAAGCCTATATAGACTAACATTATGACCAGCCAATGAAATTATATACATGTCAAATAGATAACCTCCATTTTGGAAGCCTGTGAAAACAAAATTTTCTTTAAAAAGATTTTAATTCTTTTCGTCATA